ATTTCTGTTAGTATTATAATATTATTAGCAGAAGCAGTGATTTCTCAGCACTGTCAGCTGCTGTCCTGTGTTTACTGTTCTGCACATTTGCCTTAGAAGATAGATGTTCACTTTCAACAGGCACATTTAATAATATCATTAACCTTTTTGTGCTTATAATCTAGAAAAAAAGTTTCAGTAATTTTTTCTCTATGTAATTTTGTACATGGGATTTATAGCTTAGGTAAATCTTAAAAGTCAGTCCAACTTAACTACCGAACATGGCTCCCTCTTAATAGCAATTAGAACTTTTATTTTAACTTTGAAAACTATGAAGTATTATCTTCTCAATGCTTTCTTCACAGTCTTTATTTACATTGTTTGTCACAATCAGAAGGAATTTATGCATTTCGAAGTTTTTCCTCCTTATGAAATTTTGAGGTGTCAAAGATGACATTCTGCTTTGTAATTCATACAGTATGGGAAGACTTCTGCTTTAAAATTCTAAATAGAATTAAATTACTAAAATCTAAATAAAATTCTTAAGCTTATTTATTTTTATGAATGCTGTGTAGTATACAGGAAGATAATGAAGATAATTCTGTATAATTAGACTTTGATTTCTTCATAATAATCACTGACTGACCAGCAAGAACAATCATTCACTCCTTCATCCATTGCATACAATATGCTTCCACCTCTGCTCTCTACTAAAGTGACTGAAATGGTCTTTTTCCCTTTTATTTTATCAACATTTAAGGTCTTTGGCCTAATAAAATATACTGTGGTATAAGAAATCATCTCTTACTTTCTGTATAGTACAAGGAAATATTTTCTTTCACCCCCCACATCAACCCTCCTCTCCATTTCTCAGAGATGTTCTGGAGTTATATAACTTTGCTTTACCTTTTAATAAAGCCTCAAGTGTGTTAATATTTTTTATTGAGACATCTTTTGCTGTCTTGATTTTAACAGTAGGATTTCAGTTTTGTTTTTGCTTTTGCAGTGGTTGTGAATGTCTCAGAAAGAAAAAGGAGTAGAGGAAATAAAGCATGTATTATATGAGACCTAGTGAATTGAAGTTGACTGGGTATGGCATAATAACAAACATATTTGCTCTTTGTCCATGGTTCCTGACACTCTACTCCTAAAGCCCTTGGAATTTCCTGAGTGATAGGAGTGTATTATTGTTAAGGAGCCTGTCCAGCACACTTGCGTTTATGCTAGAGAAGTGACTTACTCAGGCTGGGGTCTCTAGATCCCAGCTTCAGAATGGGAGCTGGTCACCAGAAAGACTCAACACATGATTAGAGGATGGGAGCTTTTAGGCCCACCCCCATACCTCTTGGGAGGAAGTCAGGGCTGGAAATTGAGTTACAAGAACTCTTGAACAATAAAATTCCAAGGACTTCTGTGTTGGTAGATGCCTTGATGTGCTGGGAAGGTGGCTCACCTGGAGAGGCCATGGAAGCTTTGCACCTATCCCCAACCCATACCTGGTCCTATGCATCTCCTGTGTTGGGTTGTTCTTGAGTTGTATCTTTTAATAATTAAACTGGTAATCATAACTGCAGCACTTTCATGAGTTCTGTGAGTCATTCTTGAGAATTATCAAATCTGAGAAGAGGGGGCGTGAGAATCTCTGAATTTGTAGTGAGCCAGACAGAAGTGCAGGTAGCTTGGAGACCCAATTTACAGGTGGCATCTGAAGTACGAGTGTGCTTGTGAGACTGAGCCATTTTACTCATGGCGTCTGTGGTAACTACATAATGTCAGAATTGATTTGAATTGTTAGAGACTCATTTGGTGCTGGAGAATTGAGGTTGAAAACACAGCACCTGCTTGGTGTCAAGAAAACACAGACCAGGCAAGAGGAAGTAGAGGAGGATTCCAGTAGAGAAACAGCAAGTGTGAAGACTCCGAGGTGACAAGGGACTTGACTTGTTCCAGCACCTGAAAGAGAGTGTGGCTTAAAAGGTTGGAAACAGGTGATAGACACAATTAGAACTGAAACTTACTTTAAAAGTAAAAATCAACATTGTAATCACAACAGAGAATTGGAGTGATCAGAAGGAAATGAAGAGTGGTTACACGGAGACTCGTGAGGAAGCTGGTGCAATATTCACAAGAGAGAGAATAGAGGCTTGGGAGACCCGGGGAGTGAAAATGTTTTATGGTCTTTATAAAATGTGGTTGATTCTGGTATAGGAGAAGACGTAGCATATGTCCAGGTTAAGTTATGACCTTAGTTATTTAGTCATCTAAATCACAGTTTCTCAGTTTTGAAAATGGGAACAATAATTATTTTTCTTCCTTCTTCATAGAGTTTGAAGATCAGGTAAGATAATGTATGTCAGAGCATTTTGCACATTTGTTATAGGAGAATGCTACTTCTCATCTGTTTTTTTCCCATCACCAAACTGAAAACAAAGTAAAGCTAGCTAGGTTACGTCTCTTTTTCAGATATTTATTTTCATTTGCCCTACTTATAATTGAATCCTTCAAATAATTGTTTTAGGAAAGTTCATTCCTATTTTAGGTGAAACATTTTCCTCAGAAGTTCTGAAACTGTATTTCAGGAACAGCCACTTCATAGAGATGACCCTGATCTCTCTCTCTCTCTCTCTCTCTCTCTCTCTCTCTCTCTCTCTCTCTGCTTTCTCTGTGTGTGTGTGTGGGGAGGGGTCTACTTTTTCTTTTACTTCTCAGGGCCTCCATAGAGGTGTGTGGGTATGAAAGTTGGGGTTCTTGGTTCTTGTTTTGAGTGGGGGGATGGAGAGAGATGGGAGAGTGACCAGTCAGAGAGAAGCTTCCAACCCAGAAATACCTGAAGAGAAAGAGCATACCGATAGGGAGGCTCCATAATCACCTACATGATAGTGGACCCACAAGATGAAGACTGTTCTATCAATGATAGACATTTAGCAAGGCCAGTGGAGTCAGTTCACTCTTATTTGGCTGTTCTCAGAAATAGCAAAATGTGGCTTTCATTTTGGTGCTTATGTGGCTAGCTGTCCCAGAATGGTTTATCATCAGGGCAGGGACTTTGTCTTGTTTACTGCTGCATCCCTAGAATCTGGTAGTGTGTCTGGCACATATAATAGCTCCTTGTTTAATAAAGGTATTGTTGTAAGGCATCGTCACAATATTTACTAAACTTCATTTTTAGACCATATTTAACATGCACGATTATGCTTCTGTCCATATTGATTCTCGAATATATTATGTTTACACGCACTGCACACAGCCTAGTTGGTTCCTCTTCCTTACCATCTCTTGTACCTACCCCTACCTCCATCTCCACCCCTACATTTTTCATTGAATCCCCTGTCTCACCTGAATTATTGTGTTTTTAAACTGTTGTCCTACCTTCAAATCATATTTCCTTTAACCAACCTTCCCATTGCTGCCAGGGTGCTAGCATCTCTAAGGCATAAATTTAATTACTCTCCTGCTAAAATACTTAAAGGATTTCCTTTTATATCAGTGAGTTTCCAGCGATGGTGTCCTGACACACTGAATTGTCAGAATCAGTTGGGAGGTGATAGGAATATCAGAATATTTGTGCTGTCTCTCATGAAAATGAGTCCAGAAGCTCTGTAGAGTCCTTTATACTTTTTAAGTGTAAAGGTTACCTGAAACCAAAAATCTTGAGAATTGTTTTTGAGTATACTCTGTCCTCACCTTCAGACAGTAAATTCCTTTGAGAGCATCTGGCTAGAAAATTGGAAATATCTTGTAGCCCAGGATACTAGTGTTTGTGAGTATATGATAACATTCAGGTTTTTTGTTGTTGAAATCCTTATTTTCAGGTATGCTGTCAAGTGTGCTGCTTACTGCTTCTGGTGGCAACCTTCCCCCCGCCCCCCCCCCACTCTGATATTTGTTTCCAGACTTTTTTATTTTTAGCAAGGAGCTTTACCAGAAAAGCAATACAGGATTTAAGCAGTAGTGACGAATCCTTATTTTCTTTGCATCATTTTTATTTTGTTACGTTTAGAGGTTATCAAGGGAGAGCTGTTCAGAAAGCGTCGAGAACTTCTATAGTGGCCTGCAGAGTCAATTGCTATGCTCTTTTGAGTTTTTAGTTTCTGGGAAACAGCATTTGAAAACAAAGAATCATTGAAGTTTGTCTCACATGGTGTGAAGAAAAAATTTTAAAGATGGCAGCTGAGAGAAACTCACCCAGGTTTTCTTTTTATCAGTCCTACTTATAATCTTTTAAATGTGCGTGGAAATGCTTATTTGTATTTCTTATCAATAGGTGACAAAAACCAGTGTACCAGAAATAGACTTGTTGTAAGGGGTGTTTATTCCATAAATGCATAGTAAGTTTATTTTAGTATTGTATTCCTTTGTTCTTTGACAGAAATAAATTACCATAAAACCAGAGCAAAAGAAGCCCACCTTCCTACCTACTTGTATGAAAGTGGATAGTTCCAAATTCTTCCATGTGGTAGTGCTTCTCTTCTCTTGCTGTTTCTTTCCTTTTCCCATTGTTCTTAGTGACTTAATTCTTACAGATGAATTTAGAAGACCCTGTACTGTTAATGAGTTTGTACATATCTGATTGTCATTTTAAAACTTAGATTATGGCTGTAAAGTGATCAGTCATCAGGCAAAAAAGATGTCAGTACTCTTTTTTTCTGGCCTTTTATATTTTCACCTAATATTTTGGGTAATTTTGAAATTTACATGTGTGGACACGAGCACTAAACCACTTTATTCTTTGATAGTTATATGGAAATAATAAAACTCACAATTTCCTCCCATAGCGCATTTGAGAGACAATAGTGATTTACCTTCAGGACCATATATTATTTCATTATATTTTTGAAATGACCAGTTTTCTTTCTCTTTGCAAATGATTATGGTTTTTAAAGTCATATAGAGTTGTTCACCAGTACAGAAGCCTTCTAATTTGAGGATCTTAATTAGAGGAACATTATTTGTGTCTAGAAATAAGATCTGATTGTTCATCATTTGTTTCTTAAACCACAATATCCCTTGTGTTTTTTTAGGCCAAAGATGAAGAAGAAGCCTTCCTGGATTGGAGTGATGATGATGATGATGGGTTTGATCCGAGCACACTTCCTGATCCAGATGAGTACAGAAGCTCTGAAGAATCTGATAGTGAAGATATGGAAAATAAAATCAGGTATGTTTTTATCATTGGTGGCATTAAGTGTGAGGGTCTCCTTTTAATTGTAAAGAGGTTGTAGAGGTAAATGTCGTATGCTCTTCTTATCATTTTAAGGGCCCTCTTATTGTTTCCATAATCCCTGTTAACAGATATGAGTATTACAAAAGTTGTATTTTCTTTTTCTTTCTTTATTTTTTCTCCTTATCTCTTTTTTTGTGAATCCTTTATGCTTAAGTATTTGATACACTAGGGTATATTTAATGCAAAAAGAAGCAGGATTTTATTTTCACTTGTCACAGGGCTGTACTTGAGAGTGTTGTTAAAAATTGTCTTCTGAATTTTAAAAAGGGGCCATTATACTTTCACATTTTGTGATACAAAATTAAGTAACAAATGCATAAAATATTGGAAAGCTTGTACATAAACAACCCTTGACAACTATTCTCAGTTTAAAATCTGTTCATTTGTAATGTGAACTTACTTGCTACCATGTCCAAAACTGATGAAATGTGATGAACGGAATAATAGCATGACTTGCTCAGCATTTGTTTTCAGAGTACTATGTGTTAGGTTACACTGAGAGTCTGTTGATTTAAAAGTTGAGGACATTGAACTTCATGGACATTCTAATGTGGCTATTTAGTCAGAAGATGGGTCCTAATGACAGGTGAAGTTAATATGATTGAAGGAAAGAGGGAGCTTGATGGAACCCATAAGTGCAAGCCCAGGGAGAGTTGCAGAAGTAGGCCACAGAGGGCTGTAAGATGGTTTTAAGTAAGAACATTATGAAAAAGACTTAAAAAGATTATCCCCTTAGCAGAAAAAGCTGAAGGCAGGTCATTTCAGAGTTACTCTTATTTTAATCTTGTGCTCATTTAAACATAGAATTATTTGTAATAGTGAAAATGATGTCCAAAATGTAGTCTTCCCACATGATGCCAGCATCTTGAGACATTTGCTATTAGACAGTTAGGTAGTGGATACAGTAACTTTCTAGTGTACTTGCCGACACGGTAGTGGGTATTAGCTTTATCTACCACCAGAGGCACCACAGGTAAAAATAATTTGATTAGGATTTAGAAAAATATACAAATGTATGCCATACAGGTTAAATAATTTAGATTCAGGACATATTCTTAATCTTTAGAAATTGACTTCTAAGAGTAAATATAAACACTTTTTAGAAAGTTCCTTAGTGTACATGTTGAAACCTGAACTATCACTATGGTTAAGTTTGCTCTTCCTTCTGTTCTTACATAAATGTTTCTTTCTGAGAGTAGCTTATGGCAGCTTATGGGATCTCTGTTTTGGTAGATGTGAGCTGACTTAACACATATGACTTTATATCATTAACTTCCAAATGTTTCTGTATAATTTTGCTTTCTGGAAGGAACATTAATCAGTTCTTAGGGTTGGCCATGCAGTTATATTTTGCGCATCTGTCAGATATACTTCTGTATCTGATTCATAAGGATTTCTTCCCTCACATTTTTTACTGATAGCTTCTAGGTCAACCTTAATCTGGGTGTAGCAGACATTTCATTTCATTCTTCTGGCATTTCTTACTCTCAGAGTGACATTTCCATGCTACTACCTAGTTTATGTGATTTGTTGCCTAATAGCTTCACGTGTGTTAGCCTCTTAATTAGCCTGTAAATGCTCTGTAGCTAGAAAGCCAGCCTTTTTGTACCAATACCTCTAGCCTCTACTCCTGTCCCCAACATTAGTGTCATAGGCACAAAGACGACCCTGAAATATTTGAACTGATTGATTAGTGACAGAGATTTATAGAGTAAAAAGAGAGAAATATAATATAAGCAGCTATGCAGTTGGTCCTAATAGTGTAAATGATACAAGAGATGACAAAATAGATGGCTGGAGAATTGGAAGGAGCCACGTTCAGAGAGTAGAATGATGATGGACATGACGGTAGAAGTAGCTTGAGGCGCCAGAACATTCTAATTTAAAAGGAAAATGTTTGTAATTCCAGGCATAGCTAGTAGTAACTCTGCATTAGTGGAAATTAAAAGGAATTGGTAAACTTATCTTAAGCTAAACAAAAATTCTTCTGTTGAAGATTATATCACCAAGGGCTTTATTCCTTTATCCATTGAAAGGGCTTCTTTAGCAATTTGTCTTTTGTCTATCAACAGTAATTATAATCAGACCGCTTCTTATAGATGAAGAAACCAAGGTGTCACAGGATAAAATAGTAATTTGTCTGTGATCACAGTACAAGTTACGGACAGTGTGAACTATCCAGATCAAATTGATTCCTTTGTTCTAATACTCCAATAAGGTCATACAGAATTAATCTAGCATTCAGAGAGGTAGCTCCATAAAACTTCCTGAAGACAAATTTGTTGTCATTTGGCTGAAGACCTGATCCATGGACTGTAGGATAGACTTGACTGGTCCATGAATTCCTAGCTTTGACATTCTGGCACAGATCATTCTGTGGGGGTTAGAGAGGCAGCACTTGGGAATGATTGTTGACTGCTAACAGTCAACTAAGGCCTCTACCACTGTCTCGCCTTCCCAGTAGTGACAACCAGAAATATCTTCAGACATTGACAGTTATCCCTTGGGGAGCAAAATTTCCCACAGTTAAGAACCACTGGATCAGATGCAGAATTGCACGTACATATTACTGGTGTTTGATTTCCCCACCCCTCATCCAGAATAGGCTTTGTATTTTCCTTTTCATGTAGTCAGAGCAATCTTTGTCGATATAGCATGTATTAATCAATTGGGGTTAGTACACAAGGCCATTTCTGGACTAGAAGGCAGAAATTAGGGTAAATTGCAAGTAGTAGTCTCTATGTGAAATTTCTGTTTATAACTCTTAATTTCCATTTTTCTTCTCTTTTCCCTTTTCTCTTAAAATCACCTCAGTGGCAATGAATAAAGATATATGTAAACTAAATCCAAACGTGTTTTGGATAAGAAAAAGGATTCACAAATAAATTCATATACACTAGAATTTTGACAGCAGTAATTGCTGCTGTTACTGCTAATTATAAAAATAGAACCAGTACAGTTTTTCTGTATTGTTTCAGTTTGGCAACTTTTTTTTTAATTTATTTTTTTGCCTCTCATAAATGACTAGATGTTAAGATTTTATCATGTTGCCTTTAGAGGGTCCTCCTAGTTTATTCACAGGTATTATTTGCTGCATTGTTTGTAGCCTTCACTCAATAATGATAGGAACAGCTAATGTTCCAGCCTCTTGGTTGTCCTCTCTCACCCAGTAGGTTATCATCTGGGTATTAACTTTGCATTTTCAGAAATGAATTTACTCTTAAGAGACTAGATACACCAATTAGAAAAAGGCTATTACCAAAGTAACAGCATGAGCTAGATTCTTTAGAAGTTTTCTCTGGATATTTCTTTTTCCTTCACATTGGTTCACATTTATAAATGTTCAATATGGGTAACACTTTTGTCTTTCTATATGGAAACACACTTAGTCAGTAGGAAATATACAAAAGAAAACCATACTTAATGGAGAATGACTGGATTCTTTTCTCAGGGAGGTCCGATAGGGTTTTAAAGAGTTTGTACCTCTGTCTTCAGCTCATTGCATGGCAGCAGTAGATTTAAACCATCCTCCTTACTCTGTAGAATTATCAGAATTGTCATCTCTAATACTGAGATCCAAAGGGGTTCTGGTGTGTAAGATTCAAGTTCTCTACAGTTAACATGACAAAAAGGGACCTCTTGTGTACAAAATGGTCCCAGGGACAATGAAAATAATGTGACCTTGAGTTCCTTTTAAGGAGTTTTAAGAATCTTGCCTTTAATAGCTCCATTTATTCTCATTTATAACACTGTGAAATATAGGGAACAAGTAATCTACCCATAGTACATAGTCAGCTGGTTAGTCAACTGCGGATTCTTGAGACTCAGTGAGAAGCTCTTAACTTTTGTGTGTGCCGTTTTGCAGAACAAGTGTTGAAGGTAAAGCTTGCGTTGATGCTCTCTTGTTTCTTTATCTTCATTCATGTTACAAATTGGTCCAGGACGTGTTTTACTCTGTGCCTTTCACTTCTAGTTCCTCCTTTGGAACTGTGGAATTAGCATAGGTAGAAGTAATACAAGATGATAGGATTTGTTGTAATTGTTATTAAAAGAAAAACAAAATAATTTGTTAGGAAACCTAGCTCTTTGTTGCAGTGGACTTTGTAACACCATAGAATTCACTGGTCTGCTAGGAACTGTATAGAATTATGTATTCTTGTCTCCAGTGAGTTTTCATAGAGATTTTACACCTTTTGAGGAAAAAAGACATCAAGTATTACAATGGTCTTTTTGCTCATAAATGACTTTTCTTGTCTTTATCTTTCAAATACTCCATATAATGTAGTTATACTGATTTCACAATAAAAACATGTAGACAAGTTTTTATATGTGGTGTCAAGAACTGTAGTAAGAATCTTCAATACTATTTAAATCACATTCTACTTAAGAGTTAAAAAGACCCACTTGACTGTTTGTCCTAGCTTGTTGTAATATTTCCTCCATCCATTCTTTCAACTAGGAATTTGTTTTTTAATAGCTGTCATGTGCCAGGCATAGTGAGTGCAAGTATGGAGGATAAAACATTAAGCAAGAAAAATACCTTTCCTGCGCTCACAGTTTTTAGTTCAGTGGTGGTCACAGATAGCTAAGCATGGAATTACAAAACAATGTGATGGGCAAGGGCTGTGATTTTTGCCATGTGGGAGGCGGTAGGGAGGGTGGGAAGTAGGGAATGGACATGGAGAGCACGTAAGTGGTGGATGTAGCCTGAGCTTGATCAATCAGGAAGAGCTTCCTAAAAGGAGGTGTCATCAAAGCTAAACCTGAAGTAAGTTTAAGCCTTACTGATCAGGGAGAAGGGTGTGAGTTTCCCTTCTAAAGAATGTGGCTTTTGAAGTGAGACAAGAGTGTCTTTAAACATATTCCAATTAAAGTCTTCTTTCAATAAAATTGTTCCTTTTAGCTGTGCCTCGCAAGCTGAGAGACTTGGTTCT